AAATTTTTAAAACAATTTCAAGTCGATCTGATTCTGCTAAGCTACAAATCCCAATAACGTCGTGGCATGGTGTGATAAAAATCAACTTGAGCTAAATATTAGGAAGTGTTCTCACATAACGTTTTCCAAGTCCAGGCAGTTATTTGCTAATTCATATTTAATGAAGGAATTACGTCTCACCACTTTGGATTAAGTTTCTGATCTGGGCGTAATTTTTGACTCAAAATTTCTATTTATGGGTCATTTAAATTATATTATTTCTATGTCATATTCTACATTTGCCTTTATTCTGCGCTTCGGTTCAGACTTTACTGATCCTTATACCATGTCCCCACCAAAAAGTTAACCATCTCAAATCGAACTTAACCACATCTCTAACTATTGCTGTCCACACTGCGGTTTGAGGTTTATAAAACAGTACAAATGTAAAGAACAGTGTTCGGCCCAAAAATCGATTCAGGACTAAATTACTGCAAAAATCGGAGCAAAAACAAATTTTCCGTACTAGATTGAATTTTTTATTTTTGTTTCTGACATTAACTGTTTGACTAAAATATTTTCTACTCATGCAAAATAAAAACGCGAGGCAATATAAGGATAATATATTACATATTTAGGTAATTTTTAGCATTTTAAATATAGTAGAACGTATCTAACACTTAATTTTTTAAAAAGCAAACCTTTTCTACTTTATATAAATTTCATTCCTCATATATTTTTTAACAACTTAAGTAAAGTTCTGCATCCGCCAATTTGTGCATCCATACATCAAAGAATAACGATGTTACTTTATTGACGCATTGCTATTAAAGAGTTACTTTTTAACAGTGCAAAAAACTTGCAGACCACAATTTTGACATTTCATTTGGAGGGGAAGTTGCAAATTCGTGCTCTGAAAATTTTTGCCAGCAAGAATTTGCAAGCAGGATTGTGGATCACGGTTGCATTTTTGTCAACATTAGTTGTGTTTTTTTTACAAATTATCCAGTAACTTGCCAGCAACTCTCCAGTAAATTAATTTCTAAGAATTCGCTCTCATAGAAAAAATTTACAAAAAAGTACGTGAACGCTTTTCCAGCAATAATTTGCAAGTTCCATGAACAGCTGATTAATTGGTTGTTTATTCGCAGCAAATTCCTAATAAAACAATATATTTTGTATTTAAATAGGTTTATTTTGTGAAATTCAACAATAAAAACCCACAAACAGTTTCCTTATTAGTTTAAATTTCATCCAGCAACATGCGATCAGCTGTTTTTCGTACTGGCAAATTCTTACAAGTAAAAATGTATCCAGTAAAAACTTGCAACTTGAGCCGCCATTTTTCGCTCTCTCAATTTCCCCTACTTTGCAAGTTTTTGCGTACGAAAACGCCAAAACATGAAAATTCGTAAAAACTTTTACTGGATTTTACTGGAAATGAGTAAAAAAACGCAACTATTAATTTGAATCAACAAGTTCGTTAAATTTAAAAACAAACAATTTTGTTGCGAGAGTAAGATAACTTATTCTCTGAATTTTATTACTGGCTAATTCTTACTGGCAGTTGCATAGCGAACACTCCTTGTGTGTATTCATAGTCAGCTTCAACACGAAAGTTCTATGTGGACCGGCCTTAATATTCCTATTTGCTCCGCACAGTTTTGCTCGACACTCATTTACATCACAGTTTGGAAATGTCGCGTTTTTTACGCTCCCGGTCCTCCATTTTTTGGCGTTGCATAGCAAGCATTTTTTCACGCATAGCAACAAGTTCATCCTTTTGACTAGCCTTGATGGTTTCCGCATCAGCACTGTGAGATAGCGTCTCGATTTTCAGATTCATT